GCCTGATCCCTCATAAGAATCGATCGATGCTTTCGTTTTCAAACTGCGATCCCAGATTTTGCGCGGCTCCCTCATCGCACTTGGTTGAGGGAAACTTGTGGATAGCTTGGGGTGGCTCCCATGTAGGCTCCGGGGTGAAGCGGGGCAAAGAACATGGGTTCTGAGGGAACCTGTGGAAACTTGGAAAAACTGGAGAGCTGGCCTGTGCTGAAGTGAGGCCCAAGGCCCAGGTCTCTTTTCCTTGCAGGTTCTGTGATGGCGGAAACTCATGCCAAAAACAACAAAGCAATACCACTTGGTAACACTACTCCAGCAAAGCTTTCAACCACGTCCGACGCGCACTTGATCCTTGCCAACGGTTGCGTTGACCACTTGACTTGAGACGCCACCATGACACACGTCACTTGGGCTTTCTTTCATGGAGGCTCCGTCTATTTTCAAGCGACCCCTCGATTCGTCAACCCCATCGGACGGCGAACGTGCCGAGTTCCAACTGCGACTGTTTGAAGTTCCATGTGGTTTCCATGATGAGCTGCCAATGGAACCTTTGAACCCCGCTTTTCCGTGGCTCCCTTACCAAAAAATAGAACCCGAAGACCAATGCATGCGCTTGAGCAAAGCTGCCCGATCTAATGTTGTTTTTGGTCGTGAAACCAAAAGTCAAAAGTAAAGTGACACCAAAGTAAGCCAACCCTGTCCACTTCCACGATTCTTCGCTGACCCCTCTGCACCAAATTTTAAAAAAAAGCTTGTCGTTTAGACGGAAACGTCTTGGTTTCCCAAAACGTTAAAGTCTAAAGGTCCGACCCAAGGGCGAACCACGCCCCACTTGGCGCCTCCCAGCGCCGAGTCTACACTAGCTGAGCCCTGGGCCGCTGACTCCGCCAGGAGCCCGGGCCGGCCTCGTTTTCTGGGAGCTTTCAGCTTTTTTGAGTGAATCAACAGGGAAACCAAAAGGAAACAAATTAAAAATGCCAATCCAGCTCTCTGCCTACCTAATCTATTCAATCTATCTACCTGCCTGCCTTTCTGTGCCTAATCTATTTTCTGTATGTCTATCTACTTATCGATCTGTCTATCTATCAGGCTGTCAATCTATCAACTAACCAATCAACATACTTAGCTATCCATCTTTCAATATGTTTATCTATCTATTGTTCAATCCTTCTATCTGTCCACCTACACCGCCTATCCATCTGCATATGCCTATCTAGCTACCTATCAGTCGATCTATTTATCCATCGATCCATCTATCTCTCTCTCTCTATCGTTCTGTCCACCGTTCCTGGATTCCTTCTATCTGCCTATCTAGTCTATCTATATAGCTATCTATTTCAGTAGACATATCCAGCTATCGCAAAATTTGTCTACATGTCTGTCTATCTACCTAACTATTTGTCAGTGTATCTATCTCTCTACCTGTCCTATCGATCTAGCAGTGTGTCTGTCGAGCCTGCCACGCAAGGCGAGAAGTGCTCCAAAGTGGCGTGCCACAAATTTCAACGTACAGCACGCCAGGTCTCAAAAGCTACAATTCACGCACGAGCGCAACGCAAACAGCATGTTACAAGTCACACAAAACCGCATGCTGAGCCGACCCGAAAGGCACCGCGACTTTCGCCACCTGCGAAGGCTGGCCGACGCTTGCGAACACCTAAACGCACGAACGCTTGCAGACGCAGACCCTTTCCAACGAAGGGAACCCCTCTGCTTCAGTACGCACAAAATCCCAACGAGAGCGTTCCCCGGAGTCGGAAGCAACTCCAAGGGCTCGGTGCTAGCCGCCCGCGAGTGGCCACGTGGCAACCAATAACAAGTGGGCTCCAACACCGATCCCTCTCAAAACTTCCCCAGCACTTCCCCAAACAAAAAACCCAAGCGCTTACTTGGCCGGGCCAAAAGCTGCCCGCTGGGCCGCGCGCAAAAGGCCTGGATGGTGTCCAGCATCACCTGGGCTTGGCCGTTAGAATCTAGTAGGTTTGTCATGATTCGGATTCTGTTGTGTCAGAATCTTCAAACAACCCAAAAAACAACAAGAATCTCGACGAAGATGTACAGCAGACAGCCAGGAATCACACAAATGCTAGACACGGCCCAGGAATCACACCAGCGGTGGGAATGTTCTCTGCCTCCTTAGGTTCCGAGTGCTCAGTGGCTCACGGAAAAAGTCCGAATGGGATGGTCAACGGCAAGCGTCCGCCTCTGGGGTCACAGACCGACCAGGGTGCAAGTTGACACAGGTGAAAAGTTGGCACCTTGTGGTTTGCTCGTATTGAGATCCTTTCAAATCCTCGAAGGCTTTCACGCAAATGTCAAACAAGAAATACTTTATCGAAAAAACAACTGAAATGAGAAATGGACCCCTAAGCAAAAGACGATCATGGGTCTTCGCTCGTTCCCCCACCCCACGCCCAAGTCGGTCGAATTGCTCGCCATAAAATAGAAAAAAACTGGGGGTTTGCCAAGAGAACCCCCTCCCCCTTTCCAGCGATCGATGTAAGCAAAAACAAAGTCTCCCAAAGGAGCTGAACAAAATGTTGGTCAACAAAACCAACTCATACCGTCACCACCGACCTTGGTGTCTGCAAGCCCCGCAGACGTTCGGGGTCCAAAAGAGGTCGTTCCCTTGACCATGGAGGGCCAGGAAAACACAAGCACAACTACTGGAGTCATCTAACCAGCATTTTGGGTGAAGGGACCCACTTGAAAAGACCGATGATACTTTTCCAAGACATCTGAAAGGGTGCCCACTTCGCATCACTGGTGATTCAACAGCACAACCAATCCCTTGCCATCTTGTGAGACTGGGCTTTTGCCGGATCGACTTGACCCGGAAATTTATAACTTTCTTTCTAATGATGGAAAGGGCGATGAAAAAGCCAACAAGCTCTTTTCAATTCGCCGAGGCAATTTCGGAATGCAATAGTTTCCTCACTCACCCAGGATGAATGCACCCCAGGTTGAATAACAATTGCACCCCTCGATTACCCTTGCTTGGCTTTGTGCAGCCAGGGGATCGGGAGTCCACCAGAGGCCAGGGGTGGTCCTTTCGCGTTTCCTGTTTGGCTGAATAATTACAGGGCTGCGCGAAGCAATGAGGCGGAACCAACAGTCTTGTCTAGGTGGGAGATTTATGCCTGAAAGGAACATACCGCAAGAACAAGCGTTGGGGGCCAAGTTCCATCCCCAAGCAAGGATGTGCCGTAAGCGGCACTTCAAACAGGGCCCGGAAGGCGGGGCGTCTCAGCCCTTTTTGCCATAAGACACCTCTCATGCACTGGAAGCCGTTCAGGCCTTGCTGAAAGCTTGTAGTGCCTCATCTCTACATTCAGTGAGGAACAAGTCAGGTCCCAGGCCTTGCCAACACTCTACAAAAGCAAGGAGCCAAAGGGATTCGCCAACGCACAAAGCTGTGACGGGTTGTTCAAATAGAACCCAGAAACCCTTGTTAGCAACAGCTCAATCGACGAAGTAATACGCCCAGCAGGAAGCGGACTCAGTGCTGGAGCAATCGCTCAGCAGTTCACACATGCTGCGGCCACAAGAGGCCGAGGCGTCGCCGTATTGGAACAGCTGACACCAGGGGAACTCGGTGCTCTCGCACTTCTCTTTGCACGCGGTGCGCGAGGGAAGGTCGTAGAACACCCTTGACTTGCCCGACTGTGTGCACACTTGACCTGCTACCTACTCCCAGTCCCCAACGTTGCTTCCGAAGGGTCTGCCTGGTCTGCTTGGGCCCTGAGAATCGTGCATACAAGTCAGATAGTAGTCTTTGGCCGCGAACTCATAGCATGTTCCACTCTGAGGCGAGCAGAACCTGTCACAGCGACCGCAACAGTCGGCATGAGGCCGAGCTCCCTGGGAAGAACTTCCTCCGCTTGTGCATTCCAAGTAGTAGTACTTACCCTTGTAGTCATAGCAGCTGCCACTCTCTGGGGAGCAAAAGGCAGTGCGGCAGCCATTGCAACACCCTGCGTGTTGCCAGGAGGATCCCGAGGAGGACCTCAAGACTGCGCTTTGTGCTGCAGTCGCATTGGGAGCTCCTCGCAGCGAAACTGAAGACTCCGGGGCCGCAGAGGCTACACATGCCAACGCGAGCGCGATGTAGGCAACCATGTTCTGCGGTGTTGCTGCTAGATGGAAGCTGCCAAGGGGTGCTTGAGCTGCAAATCTTGAGATGACTCACCCTCCATCACCTCAGAAAGTGAAAACCATATGGCCGGGGAAGACAACGCCAACGGGAAGTGGCGCATGTCTGGACAAACCAATGAGGGGCAAGAATTGAAACATGATGAGAAGCAATCAGCCAGTGATCTTCAAACGTGCTGGCGTCCAGCCTATTCCAAGCTATGTCAAAGGGGATCTTCGGCTGCTTGTTTTTGCCACAAGACACCTCTCATGCATTGAAAGTCTTTCAGGACTTGCTGAAAGCTTGTAGTGCCTCATCTCTACATTCAGTGAGGAACAAGTCATGTCCCAGGCCTTGCCAACACTCTACGAAAGCAAGGAGCCAAAGGGATTCGCCAACGCAAAAAGCTGTGACGTTGTTCAAATAGACCCCTGAATTCAATTTAGCAACAGGCTTTCTTTTGAAACAACCGCCAAGAGGTGCCCTCATCAAGACAAGAGCATTCCTGTGCTTCACTACCTTTCGTAGCAAAAAAACGCTGAAGCACGTTCTCGGGACAAACGGGCAATGCAATCGGCACTCTGCATGGCATGTGTGTGTGTTGTTTGCTTCCTCATAACCGTCAGTCAGCTTGCAAAAATGTTCCCAGCATCATGACTGATGTTGCAGTCGTGCAGGATATGTTGTCAACCTTGCTTGTAAGGAATGCGAGCAAAAGCTGGTATGTTTCCACACTTCAAGGATGCGACCGTCTGCACCCCCAGCCCAATTTCTCGGCTGCAGCACCTGAGTTCCTTTGTTTCCTCGAGTCTCTCAATGTGAGTCACTATGTTTGCTCAAAAGCATCCCCTACACATTGACCTTGCGTAGCCTATCCGTGAGATTTGCCCGGTGCACGTTTCGGGGACATGCCAGTATAGGCCTGTCTCAAATCTGGGAGACCCACGCCATACTATAGCGGTGGCTCAACACATTCTCAGGAACTGTTGCAGACCAACACATGTTCGCTTTGAGCCAAATACATTATTGGTGAGATGTTAACCCCTGCCACCAAAAGGTGGCAATTGATCATTGACAGCCGGTTGTTGTTGTTGTTGTTGTTGTTGTGTTTTTGTGTGTGTTTTTTCTTATTTTTTCTTCGAACAAAAACCAACGTGGGCATTGCGAGGCAGCATCCGAAGCACTTGGATCCCCCGGCCGCTCCATCGGAGCCGTCTGCCTTGACCATGTAGTGCGGGCCTCGGAAACGGCGACCACTCCGCGGAGGAATTCCTATGCCGCCGCCCCACCCCGTAGCACAGAGGAGACAAAGACATGTCGCGACTTGGAAAAGAGGACTTGGGATCGGAGCCCCAAATTGATGTGGCCTCAAGGGCTGGTTGACCACACGAGTCAGAATCCAAAAGCTTCGGGCTGGGGCGCTCCCTCAAGGTGAAGGCCTCTGGGCGCCGGGCAGGTCGTCTGCATGGCGGCCATCCTGAGACATCGTGACCGGTCTCCACGGGAGGTTGGGTGTGGATCTCTGAAGGCAGCACCAAACTCGAGGCGTGCGGAACCAGACTCTGGGCGATCCGAAACGAGTTCTAGAAAATGGATTATAGGCGCATTGATTGCTCTTTGGTGCAAGCGAGCGCAACCACTTCTCAGAACCCGTTCAGGGTCCCCGCAAACAGCAACCAAAACCTCCACCTCTGAGCCTGAAGACAGTGAAATGGGGGCCGAAGAACACGGCAAACATTCAGGATCAATGATCCTCATGGCTTTTGAGAGAGAGAGAGAGACGCGCAAAAAAAACAAGCAAGCAAGCAAGCAAGCAAGCAAGCAAGCAAGCAAGCAAGCAAGCAAGCAAGCAAGCAAGCAAGCAAGCAAGCAAGCAAGCAAGCAAGCAAGCAAGCAAGCAAGCAAGCAAGCAAGCAAGCAAGCAAGCAAGCAAGCAAGCAAGCAAGCAAGCAAGCAAGCAAGCAAGCAAGCAAGCAAGCAAGCAAGCAAGCAAGCAAGCAAGCAAGCAAGCAAGCAAGCAAGCAAGCAAGCAAGCAAGGAAGCAAGAAGCAAGGAAGCAAGGAAGCAAGGAAGCAAGGAAGGAAGCAAGGAAGCAAGGAAGCAAGGAAGCAAGGAAGCAAGGAAGCAAGGAAGCAAGGAAGCAAGCAAGGAAGCAAGCAAGGAAGCAAGGAAGCAAGGAAGCAAGGAAGCAAGGAAGCAAGGAAGCAAGCAAGGAAGCAAGGAAGCAAGGAAGCAAGGAAGCAAGGAAGCAAGGAAGCAAGGAAGCAAGCAAGGGAAGCAAGGAAGCAAGGAAGCAAGGAAGCAAGGAAGCAAGGAAGCAAGGAAGCAAGGAAGCAAGGAAGCAAGGAAGCAAGGAAGCAAGGAAGCAAGACAGCAGGGAGGCAAGCAACGGCAAAGTTCGAAACATTGGAAATGGTTGACACATTCGAAAAGTTCGAAGAGTTCAAAAAACTCAATACGTTCAAACGCCGGACGTTCGACGAGTCTGAAACGTTCGATACGTGCGAACGGTTTGAACCGTTTGATACGTTCGAGATGCCGGATGTTCGAACAATTTGACCCGATCCATACGTTCGAAACGGTTGACGCGTTCGAAACGCCGGAAGCGTTCGAAACTCTTGACACCTTCCCAGGTTGCCTGCGTTTAGTCTTTGCGCTCATACTGACCCTACCTTTACAAAAGTCAAAAGGGTAAGGAGCCGTGTTTGCACAAAAACTATATAACACCCGTTGTAGAAACTGTACTGGAAAGGTCTCAATCTGAACTATGGCAAATGTAATTGCCGCGCCATCGTTTATTTTGCACGGACTTATCACGGGTAGGTAAGCATGATGCTGTATCTGAAATACGTTCAACACAGCAAACCATGTTTTTTGCAAGCGTCCTATGTATTGTTCCGTTAAACAGTGCCCGTGAGTCAATGAGGGTAGAAATGTATCACGAATCGGCGAATGATGCACCTTACAGCTTCTGTGATACAACATATGAATGCTAAAGATATCAACAACAACAGAACAAACAACTAGATTTAAACCCTTCCTTTGTGAGTAGTGAACAAAAATGTCATATGATTGAGTAATAAAAACAGACAATTTGCACACACACACACCCAGGGAGGGATCGTAGGGCATGCCCAGTTGTCATAGATTGCTTCTATTTCTTCAACGCGTTCAGGTAGATAACCTTGATAACCAGCCAATCTATTTTATGTGTTCTTGAAAATTAAAGTATGAAGTGTGTTCTAAACAATTCTCATCATCTTGTTTTACACCTGAAATATGTACCTGTATATATATATATGTATAGGTCGTGTTGTTGAGATTACAATTGTCCGGTATTGATAATGTATCTTCTTCATCTTCAGTCCGCACTGGCATGTGTGATTCGACTATCAGACGGAAAACTCAGAACAGTAGTTAACTGCTGGTGAAGAGTGAACGATTATGACTTTATCAGAGCTGCTACTGCCACAGACTGCTACTGCTGCTGCTCCTGCTAATGCTCACGCTACTGCTGCTGCTACTACTATGTGCACCGCTTGCCGTTGTCTTGCTGATTAAATCCGCAACATATGCAGTCGCTGCGACTGAGCTATATGCTGAGTTTGGTATTGCATTTGTTACGGTCTAAACATAGTCCATCAGTTGTTTTCCAGCTTGAACCATTCGTCTTCTTCGCCGCTGCTGCCACTAGTTGGTGGTCTTGGTGGCGCCGGCGGTGGTGGTTTGTCGTTGTCAAGCATTGCAGTAAAAGCTGACATCGTGGCATGGCGTCTTTGTCACGTTGTGTGTGTGTAATGCTTGAGCATGTTTGTGTATGTCGTCTGGGTCCTCTTTGACAAAGGCTTTAAATGAAAAGTTTCGGCGTTGCCCCGCATCAATGTGCACTTTTGATAAACTCCCGTAGCTTCGGTCGCGTCAGTATCTGTGCCTGTTGCCATGTCATTGAATACGTCAGTATTCCTTGTTGTTCTCGTTGGTTGGCTTCTTGTTGGTGGCATACTTGGTGTTCTTAGGCTATATATTGCGAAGCTGTCATCTGCATCATAGTTGTCATCAAATGTTGCTTCTGTCTTTCTTTATTTGTGTTTGTTCGTGCGTTTGTTCTTCCTGCCATTATTTATTTCAAACTTTATTGCGTTCTTTTATTTCGTTCTTTCGGTAAGTATTGTATGTAACTATTTGCGTAGTTGTTCTTCTTTTTGTTCTTTATTTTGATCTTCCTTCCTGTCGTTCCTTCCTTCTTGCCTTCCTTCCTTCCTTCCTTCCTTCCTTCTTGCCTTCTTGCCTTCTTGCCTTCTTGCCTTCTTGCCTTCTTGCCTTCCTTCCTTCCTTCCTTCCTTCCTTCCTTCCTTCCTTCCTTCCTTCCTTCCTTCCTTCCTTCCTTCCTTCCTTCCTTCCTTCCTTCCTTCCTTCCCCGTCCTTCTTTTCTTCCTTCCTTTTCGCTTATTATCGTTTCCATTCATGTCTTTCTTTCCTTCATTAAAAAGAAAAGGAAAAAACAAACCGTTCTTCCTTATTTTGCTTTATTCATCTCTTGATTTGCTTTCTTTATTTCTCTCTGTCTTTCTTTATTTATTTCCTTCTTGCTTTCTTTCTTGCTTGTTTTCTTTCCTTCCTTCTTTCTTTCTTTCTTTTCTTCCTTCCTTCCTTCCTCCCTTCCTCCCTTCCTTCTTTCCTTCTTTCTTTTTCGCTTTCTTTCTTTCTTTGCAGTTGTTGTTTTGTTGGTGGGGCCATTACTCAATGTTTCTAGCTTCTCATGGCCTGCCTTTACTCTTGAAACTTGCCTCAAGGTCGTCCCTTCTATCCCTTTTAAATTGCACTATCCAACCTCCGTTGTCAGTGGTGCAAAGTAAGTAGCCGAAACATGCCAGAGGTAAGCACAGCCCAAAACTTGCAGGGGCATTATCGGCAAACGCTGCTGTGGGGTGGTCTCTCTCTCTCTCTCTCTCTATCTCTCTCTATCTCTCTCTATCTCTCTCTATCTCTCTCTATCTCTCTCTGTCACTCTCTTATGATCATGTACGCACCTTTGCGTGTCCAAGCCCCCCCTTTGACTGGAATAAGTCTGACAGCCGTGATTCTTGCGAAACCCTTTACATCCACTGCTTCCAACAGCTGGAAGTGTGCTCACCAACTTCTGGCAAAACCGCCTCCGTTTCTTCCTCCCCTTTTCAAGGCGGCCGAAAACAAGTGGCCCCTGTGGGCCGTTTTAGTCTTGTGAAGCCTCACGGGTGCCGAAACCTGGGGGGGGTCTGTCTGTTTCTGTTTGTGTTCTGTGGGGAGTGCCTTTCTTCCCACCGGACCGCCTCGTCGGTGTTTTACCCAAGCCGCCCACGCGTTTTGTTTCTCTGCTCTTCTCTTTCCGCCAGGAGGCAGCTGCTGCAGCGCGGGCGGCATGCCCGTGGGACGACCACTCCTCGGAAAGCGGCGAGCTTCCAACATGTCCATGGGAAACCACCAACTCTGTGGGTTCCCCTATTTTGGCACTGCTCAAAACCCGTCCAAATGAGAGCATGGACTATCCGCGCGAAGCCACCGCATCGGGCCTTTGAAGCAGACCCATAAAGGATGCCCTTGCGAAAACAGAGACAGACTTAGCCCACGGCTCAGAATAAAATCAACACAGTCTGGAGAGCGATTCCGACACTCACGGAACTTCGGTGACTGGGGCTGCCGCCGGGAGGTTGCCACAACGTGGTCCTGGCGCGATTCGGCTCGGATGTCCCTAGAGATTGCATATGTTATATATATATATATATACATATATGTACCAACGTGACAATCTAAGCATATGAACACCTATAAATATATATATATATGTAAATATGGTTTCCCTTTGTTCTCCCTTCACAACTCAAACTGGTGGCCGATACCCCAGAACTGCTGTCCAACAAAGGGGTGCGGATTTATCCCGAAAGCATTGCGAAGGCAACTTTCAAGCATGAAAGTAGCACGCGAAGTACTCTTTCAGAAGGCTCCGGCTGGAAGATCCCAACTTTTAAGTGGATCGACAATTGAGCTCAAATCGAAGGTTGCTGTGCTTTGGTCAGCGCTGCACGCAGAGAACTTGCTCATAGAAACTTGTTCCAGGCTTGCGCGGCACTCGTGCAGAGCGCTCGCAGCGCTTGCACGGAACTCTTGGGCCGAGCGCTCACAACACCGAAGCTTATCAGTCGCGAAGCTGCCACTTGCCCATGAAACGGGAAGCAAACAAAATCAACACTCACTTCCCGTTCTGCTTTGTTCTAGTCGTTTTTCGTCTCGGGCAGTAACATGCTGCATTTTGCAGCATCTTCTCACAAATACCTAACTTACACTAGCTCAGCAACATCCCCAGCATCCCCAGCATCCCCAGCTTCTCACTGCAACACCCCTAGCATCACCAGCTGGCCGTGGCTTCAGGCGGCAGCCCCCCCACGATGCGCGGGCTGGGAGCGCCGGCAGCCCCAGGATCTTCAAAGAAGCGATGTGTACTGTGCACATACACGCATGCATGGCTACGCACATTACAAACATTACATGCATCACATGCAATACATTAGGTTAGGGTACGTTACACTACATTACGCTACATTACATTGCATTCACTACATACATACATTTCATACAGTACATACATTACACACAGCACATACATTTCATACATTACATACATTACATACATTACATACATTATAAACATTACATACATAACATGCACTACATACATACATACATACATACATACATACATACATACATACATACATACATACATACATACATACATACATACATACATACATACATACATACATACATACATACATACATACATTACATACATACATACATACATACATACATACATACATACATACATACATACATACATACATACATACATACATACATACATACATACATACATACATACATACATACATACATACATACATACATACATACATACATACATACATACATACATACATACATACCATACATACCATACATACATACATACATACATACATACATACATACATACATACATACATACATACATACATACATACATACATACATACATACATACATACATACATACATACATACATACATACATACATACATACATACATACATACATTACATACATACATACATACATACATACATTACATACATACATACATACATACATACATACATACATACATACATACATACATACATACATACATACATACATACATACATACATACATACATACATACATACATACATACATACATACATACATACATACATCATACATACATACATACATACATACATACATACATACATACATACATACATACATACATACATACATACATACATACATACATACATACATACATACATACATAATTACATTACATACATACATACATACATACATACATACATACATACATACATACATACATACATACATTACATACATACATACACATATACATACAACATACGTACATACATACATACATACATAACATACATACATACATACATACATACATACATACATACATACATAAATTCATACATACATACATACATACATTACATACATACATACATACATACATACATACATACATACATACATACATACATACATACATACATACATACATACATACATCCATTACATACATACATACATACATACATACATACATACATACATACATACATACATACATACATACATACATACATTACATTACATTACATTACATAACATTACATTACATTACATTACATACATACATACATACATACATACATACATACATACATACATACATACATACATACATACATTACATTACATACAAACATACATACATACATACATACATACATACATACATACATACATACATACATACATACATACATACATACATACATACAATACAATACATACATACATACATACATACATACATACATACATTACATACATACATTACAGTACATACATACA